ACATAAGGTTTTTGCAGCAATCATACACTCCAAAAAGCACAACAGCAATTTTATATTTTTCTGTAATTGATTCATCATAATTTTAATCTACAAGCAAACTATTCCCAGATCCAATTCAGACTTTATCCCAAACACAGTCCTTTAGATAAAAACAAAGCAGTCATATTTAAAAATATTTGAAATAGGAAGAAAAGAAGCCTAGCTAAGGAGATGCCAAGCATTCAGAAGAAAACAAAGTTTCCTGTGTCTGAAAAGTCATATAGACCAGCAGATGAAACAACTGAAAAAGGCCCTTCTCAAATTACGGAGGAAAGAGAAAAATGCGCTGTGCGTTTGTTGGCCTTTATTGAGGAAGAAAATTGATATTAGGAAATGACACTGATTTCACAGAAAAATAACCTATATAGCTAAAAATCTTAAATGACTGTAGCTAATTATGTCATCATAAAATCATTATTACATGGTGTGTTGATCAAATAGTCTTAGAAGTCGTAGGTTTGTCGATCCCAATTTCAGCAGGCAGACAGTATTAGCATTCTTGTAGCTGCACAGCTTCTAGTTTTGATTCATATTGCTTTTTCGCTTCGGTTTTTAAAGAATCTAAGCATTCATACGCCTTTTTCGCTCGCACTGATAACGAGGTATCTGCGAGTGATGGGTTTGTTTTCACCAAGCGGAATGCCGACTCGGTCGAATCGGTCTATTGTGATACTCAGAACTAACAAACTTTTTCGCATATAAACTGTATCATTTAAGGGGCAGTTCAACATGTTTTAGGTTTCCTTTTTGAAGGTGGGATGGGTATATTGACATTTATCACTACTATTGTTGATCTGAGTCAAATGAGATGGTTAGTATGACTTTGACATCATGAACTAATTTTTCTGCTGGTAGGACCAAGTCTACCATAGATCTTTGTGTTTTATTGTTTGAAAACCATCTATACCATGTCTATTTGTGGTTTTCCTGTTGGTGAAAAGTATTCATTACCAACATATTGCTCATGCAAAAAGCGTTAATGTGCTCCTTCAACGTTACTTTTATCCCAATACTGAAGCAGCCAGTTACACATTACCTTGTATTCTTTCCCCTGTATGTCCGTTGAGGTCTCCTATCAGAATACAGTTTTCTCTCGGCATTCTATCTATTGTGTCCTGAACGTTATTACAAAATTCTCCTTTTCCTCTTCACTCAGACCTTGCTGTGGCGCATATACTTGCACTATATCCATATTGCACTGATTAGCTTTTGAAGTTGCACGTATGATACGATTGCTTACTCCATGCTTTCCCTCTTGGTTCCCTTGGTAGATAGTCTTCGAGTATAACTTTCCTTCCATTTGCTCCCTTTAGGATTGTTTCGTCTATTTCTACTACATCATACATTTAGATGTCGATTTAAGGATATAAATATATTTGTACAGTAATGTTTATTTTAAGGCTACAAACATTACAAAATTAATCATAAATTTTGCTAGAAATACTTTTGTCGTAGTGTATACATGAATATCCAAGCCGACACCCATGGTTATGCTAACCATATTTTTGGCACAATGAATATGAAAAGAATGTGTGTGTGCAGCAGCAACAGATGCTTCAGAATGCTGGCCTTATCATCATTGCTGTTGTTTTTAGCGAGTAATGATATCCTCTCCAGGGTTGCCACTCGATACCATCTGCATAGCTCTCATGTTCACCTTCATAAGGAAACCCGTTCAAGTTGGATATGTGGCACTTGTCATACCACCAAGCACCGCGATACCTGCAAGGAAATAAATTATTGGTATTTCTTCCTCCGAATCATAAAATACTTGAATAAGAGAGGTGCCGGTAACCTTCCGTTCTGTTATAGTTGTGGAGTCAGTTCCATCTCAGTATATTTGGGTTTTTGAATCTGCCATGTGAAATATTATATACCATAGCATTAGTAGAAAGAATACTCTGCCTGCTATTTTATCCATCAGGTAATATAAAAAAGACAGTTCTCTCGTAATATCCGGTAGCATCTGAGAAATCAAATAACTGGAAACAAGGAAAGTAAAAGTTTTAAACAGACTTTCTTTTTCAACTATTGATATGATTCATCTATATAAAAAAAAAGAACAGCTTTACCTCTAAGCCAAGGTACTTAAAAGACAGATAGCACCACTCTGTTTCAATAAAATTCTAGTTTGCATATCTAAGTCCTGATCACTTGGCATTATTTACAGTACATACTAATTGGGTTTCGTTATTTTTTCTATTAATTATCTACTGTTGTCAAAAAAAAAAAAATACTAATAATATACATCACAAAATCTGGCAGATGTGACAAGAAGGGCAGTTTACCATGAGTCTGTATTCACTCAGGGATTGCAGGTAACCATAAGAGTTTGTTTTCCCCTGAATAACTGCAGCGTATCAAGAGGGTCTGCGGTTCTCTTTTTACACGTAACTCTTTCCTTTCTCAAATCTCCGACACTTTGAGCCTCGTCATCATCCTCATTCCATTTACATATTTTCTAATTACCTATTTGAGGCAAAAGAAAAAAACGGCAATATTTCTGCAACTAAGAGTACATTGATTAACCACATGACTTTATGTGGATTCTTAATATGAACTTTAAGGAACGGCTACCAAATTGTTCTTAGATATTTTCCCCAAGGCTTTGAGATCACCTTGCTAAAAAAAAAAAAAAAAAAAAAAAAAAAAAAAAAAAAAAATGTAGCGAACTGTAGTACATAAAGGAGTAGTTTCTTGTCTCACTCACTTGGCTGCACAGTTACCGCCATCGCCGTCGTTGTCGTTGTCATGCGTGGTAAACGGGTGGCCGTTGTGCCTGCCACTCCCGAAGCCATCACCAGCTGTACCGTTGTACCTGGTGGTTGAGTTTTTGTTTTATTATTATTATTATTATTATGCGTATTTGTAAGAATATAAATTGACAAGGAACCTTATCAGTGCATTGGTTTGAAATTTAAAGTCTAATTTGACCCTGTTTAAACTTCCTTTTCTTTCTTCTTTGTTCCACAATAACAAATTAAGAATGGTGAATACACAGCAAACCAGCATGCAGTTAAATGATGCAACTTGAGAATGAATCTAAATAAGTATATAAAGTATATAAATGGAAGGTAGTCAAAAGAGATGGCTTAACAGTGTTACTTTAAGCAAGTTCTCACTATACAGCGATCCGTACAGCTTGCTTTTACCTGCCGACTTGCAGCCGATACTTGGTGCTGGCGTCCCCCAGGTGGAAGAGCCCGTACTTGGCCCATTTCGCGTTGCCCTCGTAGTCCGTGAGGTCGACTCTCATCTCCTGCAGGCCGGTCGAGGTCAGGTGGTGCACGAGGTCGAGGCCCAGCCAGAACTCGCCGCCGTCCATGTGGCCGAAGCCGAGCTCGTACTCGACCCACGTGCGGTAGAAGTCCTCCCTCACAGGGAGCTTGAGCCGCCTCTGGAACACCGTCCAGCCGCCGCCGTCGGTCTCCTGGTCGCAGTAGACGGTCGCAGCCGCGTCGGGCGAGTCGCGGAAGGGGAACACGCGCCGGACGCCCGACGCGGAGTCGCCGTCCAGCTGCAGGTCGCGGCAGTGCCTGGGCCGCCGCCGCTGCCTCTCCGCGTCGAGAATCGCTCGCCGCACCTCGGACATCGTGTCCCGCAGGTCCTGGCGGGGCAGAGGGGGGGGGGGATTCAACACTCGCAGTGCAGTATATCTTTATCTACATATATTGCTGTGGGCTGGATATAATATGTGCGTATGTATACTTTGCGTATTTGTATGTATGTATATATAATATATAATATATATATATATATATATATATATATATATATATATATATATATATATATATATTAAGGCCTTTTCTATAGCATCCTGGAACCCTATCACTTTGATGCATTGTTTCATGTTGTATCATGGGCGCTACAAATCACATCATCAAAGTTTGTGTTGGCATATAAAATCATTCTTCCTAATTTCACATAAAAAGTCAACAGAGAACCATTCAAGTACTTGATGTGCTTTTACAATTTTTAATCACAAGGAAAACATTGTGGAAGCTTCAGATAAAACGGAAAAAGTATCTGACTTCTGCAACTTTTGTTGTTTATACACTTGTCTTCCTTCACAAGTCTATGGAAACTTTATTTTTTTATTTTTTTATTTCGTCAAAACATTTTTTCTTATGACTTTAATCTTTATATAAAAAGTGGAAGTTGCATTAGGTTTTGCATCTAATTGTCTCCACCGCGAGGGAACTCCCTGTCTGATTCAGACATTTGGATCACTCAAATGATCATGGGCATTTATTTCTCTTATTGATTAATTTGTATTAACAAATCAAGGTACAAACCCTTTTTTCTGCATTTTTGAGCATGTAGGTTTACATCAGAAAGGTACAGAATGAATTTGAAGATATTCATCACACCGAAGTCAATACCACGTTATATGACTCGGACACATTGAAAATTCTTTCCATGTTTTTCCAGCGACGGTCATGATTCACTTAGATTTTACCCATACCGAATGAACATGCATTTGATGTATTGCTAAAATAAGCACATAAACACTTTATGCACCTTTACAGTATTTCTTAAACCAAGAAATGAACGATGCAATTCGTAATTAATCAAAATATAAATCCTTATCTGCTTTGATTCGCTGGCCAGAGTGTATCACACTGAATCAAGGTAGACAGACTGATGCAAACTAAAAAAAAAAAAAAAATGTTTCAGCAGGTTTCTAAACTGTGCGCATAAAGGGCAAACATGTATCAAAGTGTTGGAAATTTCAGAAATGCTACAAAAAAGACTTCTAATCTACTTGTATATATAAGGCCTTTTTGTAGCACCTCTTAAGGCTTTGACATTTATGCAAACATTATTAAAACCTGTTGAAACACGTTTTCGATTTGTATCAGTTTGCATGCCTTTACCTTGAGACAATATGATCGACTTGGGCCAACCAATCAGAGCGCGATATTTTCAGATTTACTTCACGTGGTCTTATATAAGGATTTATATTTACATTGATTAGCAACTGAATCGTATATTCCTTGATAAAAACAATCTATCATAAAGGTGCATAAAATGTTTCCGTGCCCTTTTAGCAGTACATCAAATACATGTTCACTCTATATGGGTAAAATTGGAACGACATGGTATGACTTTGCATTGTGTCCGATTCATATGACGTGATATTGGCTTCGGTGGGATGAATGTCTTCAGAATCATTTTGTACATGTATGATTTAACGCTACAGGCTGAAAATTGTCAAAGAAAAAAGGCTGTGTATCTTCAAATGTTGACATAAAAGAGGCACTACGTTAAGTCGATTGAGATTCGGACTCCATGTGAATAAGATAAAAAAAAAGATACAAAACTTCAAGCAACATCCACTTTCCATATGAAGAACAATGCATGTAACAAGAAAAAGAGAATAATGTTTTGCTAAAATCTAAGAAGGTAGCTTCCACAGCCTTGCGAAGCATAGCTTGGTGTGTAAACAAAATAAGTTGGGGTTGGAGAATGATCAGGTAATACTTTTCATTTTATTTAGTGCATCCACAATGTGTTGCTTGTAATGGAAAGGCATACGAGCTTACTGATTAATTAAATGTTTTCTTCTATTAGCTACATCATGTAAGATTATGAAAAATAACTCCTTTATTCAAATTTCGTGTCAGTACAAAATTCGAGGGTACCGTCTTTTGTAGTGACCACGAAGTGTTACGGGTTCAGGATGCTACTAAATAGGCCTCTATATGTGTATTTGTGGAAACTGTATATATGTGTATGCATGTATATACATCTGTAAGTATGTCGAGCACTAACACACACGCACACGTCCACGCATGTGCATATCCACATGTACATGATCCAAGCCAACGCACACTCACCTGCGCTATGGCCAGCTGACCATTTCCATTTTCTTGACAGTTGATCAAGGAG